GGCTGGCACACCAGCAGTGTGGTGGGCAAGGGACACTGGAAGGAAAAGGCAGTGCGGCACCGCGACACCAACTGCGACATCCCCGCGTCATGCTGTCGGGGCGCGCGGTTTTCTGTGGTATTGACTTACTTGCTCCAGCCCGTAAGGAGGAACACATCAAACGGACAGGCACCCTGTGTGGTACAGCCTGGTACCCATGAGGTAAGACAAGAGAAAGCTGTGATCAGAGACAAGCAGTTCAGGGTTGGCCCATCAGTCTCCTTCTCCCCCAGGCACCCTGCAGGGTGGAGACTGGCAAAGGCACAACAGATAGCGGAAATGAGCGGCCTTCCCTAGGACACATTAGAGAAGGAGAGGTAGAACTGACGAGGGATGTCACAGCAGGACTTCTAGTTAATAATGTCTAAGATGGTTCTGTGCAGGTTCAACAGGCGCTGGAATCATCGTCTGAAACACTCACCATTGCTGACATCTGGTGTATCAAGCATTCTTCCATGAGGCACAAGGATGCCATTTCATCCAGCTGCTGCCGATGGGCCCGAATTACAGCCTGTCTGATTAACATAAAACACACCACTGGTTACACAGCCTGCTGCAGGCTGTTGGCCTCAATACACCTTTAAGGAGCAAGACCCCAGAGGACGCTGTACTGTCTCGTGTCCCTGGCACTCAGAAGGTGCACACCCATGCTCCTCGACGGGCTGTGGACTGCACTGATTTGGGGGTAAAGAGCACCTTGACAACTAAGGATTGCCCAGAGGGGAGTGGGCACAGCCCCTGGTCAGCAAAGGCTGCACAGGTGCATACACTGCTTTTACCAGAGGGAAATCTAGGAGCAAAGAAATTGTCTAATTAGTCGGTGAAGTGGCTAACAACCACGAGACTGTAAGTCATTTTGGTGAAAAATGGGCAGAGCGGGAAGGCAGTGTTGCTGCTTGCTCCTCTCAGCAAGCTTCTCTGACCAGCACCACATTTTCAGTCACGTGATTGCAGTCCAGTCCTGGGGACCTGACAGTGGCCACTCACAGTGCACCTACACCTTCAGCAACTGCCCAGCTGCCCTGGCTGCTTTTCTTTCCATAGGGATCAAACAGCTGCCACCTGCTCCTTGATGGGAGGTTTTGATACGTTTCAGGTACTTTAGAGCTTATCAGAAGCCAATTAGTTCCTGACAACTGCAGTTGGTATTATAATATTCATTGCCCCAGCATTACCCTAGGAAGCTCTAATAGAATAATTGGCTTGCTGTGAGATTTTAGAGCATCGCTAAATAACAAGCAATCATGTATTTATAAGATAATGACTAAATTATTGTTAACCTTTTAAAATAATTATTTCATAGATTGATTTCCCAACATTTTTTAAAAGTATGTATGAGTATGATATATAAAAAAAGGCAAAGGTATGACATGTCTAGAATTTCTAAGCTTCATGACAAACTTCAGGGACAAGCAAGACTTACTGTGCCTTTTCTAGGGCTTCCCTCTGCCATTTTCCCATCTCTGATGTAGCGCTTGGACAGCTGCTGCCGGACGTGTCCGAAGGGCTCTTTCCATTTGCCGATGGCTTATTATCTTTGGTTGCAAATCCTGAATTCACAGCAGAAGTCTCTTGTGTAAAAATGCTCTTCATTAAGTTGTTTTTCAGCAACCCTGCTTCCTCACTGCTGAACGACGACTTGGCTGGGTCTGCAGAATGACTGAAGTCCTCATTCCTCGGTCCTGATGTGGGTTGCAGCAGCAGGCTGCTGTCTCGAGAGGGGGACTGGACTGTGTAATCCGCATGTCCCGCACTGAGAAAGCACAGTGCACCTGGAAAACAGCTCTTTTCAGGGGTATCAGCATTTATTTCCTGCGTCACGTGGTCACATCCAACAAGTAAACGGTGAAGGACTCCTTGCTCCGGTGGACCGGAGCCCAGGAGGCAGCAGCATGCTTTGGGTGAACGCCGCTCGTCCCCTGTTTGTGGGGAGCAGAGCAGGGGGCAGTGTCTTCCGCCGCGACGTGCCTGCTCCCCCAGTTCCAGCATGCTGTCCGTCAGAGCTCTGCTTCTTGTACACTGCCAGCCCTCCTCCCCAGGACGGTGCTGGGAGCCTTGTGCGCTCCTGCCCGACATCTGCTTCGCACGGGGGGACTTCTCCTGGTGAGGAGGCACCTGCTCTGTATCGGCTGTTTCCTTGTAGTTAAGAAGGGATCCTGTGAGAGGGGCCATTCGCTCAGAAGTGAATTCTGAGGAAGAACTGGAAGATCTACGACTGTTAACTCCATTTTTTTTGGTTTTCCATTTTACATCTCCTGCAAGGGCAGCCTGTCTATCCAAAGTGGATTCTTCCCCCTCTTCATGCTGGAGGTCGATCTCTTTGCCCTCTGGAGTTCCCAGCTTCAATACAGGAGAAACATACAGGTTTGAAGCATCCTTTTCTGAAGTTAAGGTGGCTTCGCTGGAGTAGGCAAGACTTCTGTGTTTGGGGTTGTATTGTTTCTGATCAGTTAGGAAACCTTGGCCGTTCTTCCAGTTACAAGCAGGATCTTCCTGCAGGCAGTAAGGTTTTTCTGCAGTATTGCTTGGAGAGGACTCAACAGTGAAATCATAGCACCAGTCTGATGGAGTTTTGCTGCAGCCTGCATTTTGAATGGATTCCTCTGACTTCGGGCTGCCCTGGCTACAATCCCAGCTGTCATCTAGTTCATGTTCTTGCCTGGGCACTGCATATTTAAAAAATAAGTCCTGTTGCTTTTGGCCTTTTTGCTCTTCTTCAGTTCCTTGTTCTCTCTGATGAAGGAAAAACGAATGTTGACTGCATTTGTTGGTGTTCCTTCTTTTCACGCTCTTCTGACTACAGACGGGTGAGAAAGAATCTTCGCTGAAATCACTGTCATCCAGATCTTCCAGCTGTAAGCCCTCTTTGCTCTGTACTTCCGTAGGAGTAAGACTCGGCTCCTGCTTCACTTGGATCTCCTGGGGCTTGTACTGCGTTAAGAACCTCTCAAGAGGTTGGTAGTTCAGTTTTGGCTGTAGAAGAGGTGGCTGCTGAAAATGCTGGTGGTAGAGACGTAAATGCTCTTCCCTTTCCTTCTGAAATGGAGGCAGATTTGGCCAGGTTTCAACACACGGTTTAACAAAGGCGTTTCCCCATTCCTGTCTGGTGTCGGAAGGCAGATTTTCATCTCCAAAGGAAAACTCATCTTTAGAAACAAGCTGTTTCTGCACAGGTTGCACTGTCTGCACTTTCAGGCACTGGACAGGCGGTCTGTCTTGCATACACTTGTCTCTCTGGCTACTGTCTTTTGTTTCTGCCACGGAAGCATCTTTGATGGTTAAATCCTTTGCAGTGGGGCTCTTGTCAGAGTGGGGAGACAGGTCATCGGTTTTCTTCTTCAGGGGATGCGGTACCTGTAGGATGCCCTTACCTGGGCTAGCGTGGTGGAACCGTGGTGAGCTGGGATTCCCTTTGTAGGCATGTCCTTTGTTGACTGCCCGGGGGGTAGAGGTAAAAGGGACACTTCGTGGCTGGAGTGCTGCAGGACATGCCTTTGTTTTTGTGGTGTTTGAGGAATGCTGGAGGCCTAGCTTCACTTTCTTTGGACAACACTTTTCCCCAGGTGTCAAAGACATAGAGTTTTGGACACGTTTTGGAGATACATTTCCACCTGTCCGACGCCTGTTTGTCACAGGGGTAGAACATTTAATCCCTTTCTTCAGCTCTTTGACCCTGTAAATGAGGCTGGCTTTAGAAGATGTCATGCTTTCAGGTAAATAACAGCGTTTTCAGAACAAACTAACGCTTTCACATATTAAGGCTAAACAGTGTCACGATTTCTGTTTTAACAGTGAGCCACGCAGGCATCAAAACCCTTTGCCAAAATGCCTGAACACCAAGGAAGGTCTACAGCAGTATTCTGAAGTGCTTCCTCCAACAGTGCACAGGTCAAATGAGTGAGGGGGGCCTCTGCTTCAGTGTAAGGGGGCTGCATTTCCACACTTCATAATGCAGCGTGGCACAGTGCCAGCTCCAGACAAGCTAGTTGTCTCCACAGCACATTACAGTCCCACGGGACATAAATTAGGGCTTTTGGAGTAGTTGCAGTGGAGCTGACTAGCTCAGGTGATATGTGTACAGGGCTACAGTGTTCCTGGATCAGACTCATCACTGCAGCTGTGAAGAGCTGCTTACCTGGCACCACTGTATGCCCTCAACTGTTCCCTTTACTCCTCTTCCCCTTAAGCATCCCTTGTCCTCATAGCCCCAGCATTGCACAGCCTTTGATCTCCTTCCCCCTGCGTAGGAGGAAGGGTGAGGGACGTGCACATTCCAGTTCTGCCTAGGATATACAAGGCTAACACAAAACTTTTGATTGCTGAGGTTAGTCGTCCTGCAGTTACAGGGAGCACAGTGATATTTTCATCACCAAAAGCTGCCATCAGAAAGGATTTATGAGACCCCGAGAATTTCAAGACCAAATATAAGACCTGAAACAGGTAAGGATTTTACTTGCATTGAGGAAATTGCACTTCTTGCTTAAATCAACATTTCCAATGCAACCAAAATAAAACCTAACCATAGACGTCATACATTACTTCTTCCTTCCTGCTTTTCACCTTGGCAAGATTGAGCTTCGTCACCTACCTGTCAGCATATCGCAAAGTGTTCAGGGTATGCTCTGTAGCCATGTGGCTAGGTGAGACATTCGCTATCATACACGTCTTGGAGTTGCCAATGAAAGAATCCTTCAGCACCTGTGGTTGCAGGAAAAATAAAATAAGATTATTAGCAATTCACATACCTTGTATTTCCTGAAAATCAGCAATATGTACAGAGGCAGTTTGACATGAGGCAGGTGATGCACAGTCACTGTCTTTTTGTAATGTAGTCCTTTCTTCTACCAATTTGTCTTGCAATTCTCTGTTTACAATTTAAAATGAATATGAGTGTTAACCAGGGCTGTGAACAAGCCCTGGCACCCGGTGCCACAAGGGCACCCATATGTTTTGAGCAATAAAGGATATGTTACAACTGGGGTGAAGAAATGTTGATGGAATTTCCCATGACTGCTCCTGCACGGAAGACACAAGGTGGGTAGCAGAGTGGATGGAGATGTACAGCAAGTGAATGAGTCGGAAGTTGGGGTCTGGGGCGTTAGTTTGGTTTGAGTTTTTGGTTGATTTGTTTTTTACCGTGCCAGTCCTCAAGACTGACCGGGGAAACTGACAGTTGGCCTTCATTCCGTGATTATCTTTAAAATTAATGTTTGCAAAAGTTATGCATTTCTCTTTACCTCAAGAGTTTAATAGCAGTTATTGAATTATTCCCTTTTAAGAATTACTATTTTTCTTATTTTGACCTTATTTTCCCCTTGTCAGGGAAACCCCTACTGGCTGCCTTTCAGCAACCTGTTTTACCTGAGTCAGTTTGCTTTGTCGGAAAGGAGTGTGCGCGTGTTCCTGATCCAATGCCCGAATGCATTCCTTTAGCTACAAAAAAAATAGAAAAATATCATATAAAAACAGAGCAGGAAAACCTATCGATCTGGCAAGGAACTGAATTGCACCAAACCTGACCTGCGTGCTGTTTCCCTCATGCAGCTTTGACCCCTGTGGTCTGATGTCCCGCGCAAGGGGGGGGTTTGCTGCTGCCACAGCCACAAGTGGCCAGCGTCAGCTAGCCCAGCTGTCAGCAGGAGTTCAGCTGCCCAGCGAGCAAAGCTGCCGCACAGAGTGCAGCCAGCCCTGCCCGACGGCGCTGTGGGCTGCGCAGAACCCAGGAAGCTGGGTAGATGCACACGTGGTCAGCACACACAGAGCTCCGCGCTGCTGCGGACCTGCTGCTGCCTGTGCCATAGCTGGCTGGTTTGGGGCTAGATTGGTGTACACCAGGCCAAGCTGCAACTTGCAGGGCGAGTGTACCCCAGACTCATATACCTGTAACACCCTAAGAACTGGGTTTTTTGAGCTCCATCTTTATAAATTTCTTTCTTCTAAAAAAAGCTCTTCCCCTCCCAAAAAACCCAACACTTTGGATGACAGCAGTCTAGATGTCCTGACTGTGCCTGGGTACACAGAGCTGTGTTCGAAGGCCAGAAAGCCTCCAGCTTTCTCGTAGCCCTTTCAGGCACTGGAAGGTGCTATAAGGTCTCCCCGGAGCCTTCTCTTCTCCAGGCTGAACACCCCCAACTCTCCCAGCCTGTTCCTATATCGTAGGTGCTCCAGCCCTTGGAGCATCTTTGTGGCCTCCTCTGGACTCGCTCCAACTAGTCTATATCCTTCTGATGTTGGGGACTCCACAGCTGGACACAGAACTGCAGGTGGGGTCTCACAACAGCAGAGGGGCAGAATCCCCTCCCTCGACCTGCTGGCCACGCTGCTCTGGATACAGCCCAGGATATGGTTGGCACTGTTTTTGCCATGTTTCCATTGGAATAAGCACAACAGCATCACACTCTGTATCAAGCCTGGATGGTCTCTAAAACTGGCAGAAATGGACTGTATACCCACGAGACAAGTAATTTAGACTAAATATTGAAGGAAAAAAAGCAGAGTACGGTATTGTCATGGTGATAGTAGAAGGAGGCAGCCTTTCCATATTTGTAGTCTTTCCACGTTCTACATACACTCACTGAAGATGGCACTTATTTCTCACTTTTACTGCATTTTACTAAGAATCACTCCTCTAAAAAGTAAGAGATCAAACTACTCTAATTTTTTATTCAGCTTCTCATAATGGCAGTATCTGAGTATCTTCTACTTGAAATCCATGTGAATATTCAAACCAGCAGTAAGCTTGGTGTGGTTTAAGGCCTGAAGACGGTGTTGCGGTCAGTGAAGGCAGAGCTGGTTTTTACCAGCTGCAGGTCATGTAGACTTACACAAAGATGCCTTTTACAGTTAATTCAGTCACTGCTAGTTAACTGCCTCAGTGCTTGCTCAGCTTCACACAATACCAAAAATACATACACTCTGATTCTAAAGTTCCTTTTAAAAGAGTTTCATGAGCTTATATCAGGACTCACTTCTCAGGAATCCTTTCTATTCAGGTCCTGACTCCCCATGCCACTCAGTTTTCACCAGCAAGTACTCAAGAAAGCATGCAGTACTGAAACACCTTCACTTTACATGCTGTCTCCCAGTATGAGTGCTAATACTCCACAGCAGGAAAGCCTCTGTGCAAAAGCACGTTCCACATTCTCAGAACAGAGCAAGCCGCCTCCTACTGACGGCACACTAGGAGCTGTGTGCACTAACTTCTGCACTGTTGACTCATGCTGAGTGTGTGTCACCTTCAGTCTCACTCAGAGAAGCCCTCACCCAACAGTGAGCTGTGCTCTTCTGAATTAAAGATGCCATGCTTTCTGCACAATTTTTACTTAGGGGCACTTCTGCTTTATCTTAGATGGAATTCCTCTGCTCCTTGTCCCTTTTTACGCTGTGTACGCTTATAAAAGAAAGTTTCCACCAAGAGTATGCTTCTTCCTGCTCATTTCTCCCCACACACAAACTGCCAGTGTCCATGCTCTTGAGTATTTAAGTCCTTTACTCCTGGTTTGAAAGAGAAGCCTGAGTTCAAGTCAAGAATAAAAAGCTGCAGGAACAGATGTGCTTTTACGAAACCAATAGGGCAATTCCAAACCAATAGTCTTTAGAAGGAAAAGGGACAAAATTTTCTATATACAGTATGGGACACTTACTATACTATACCCAACATCCTCCATGCTGTGCTTACCTGGCTGGCTGTAAGAATGGATCAAAAAGACTATTATAATAAAAAAATCTTTTCCCTCTTAAATTGTTTTTCAGGCATGAAACAAACTAAACTGGACACAGTACTTTCAATATTTCTTCCCCTCCGTGGAATACATACATATATTGTTTTAGTATAAAAATGAACCACAGGGTATGTGCTAATAATTAAATATAAAACCTTCCCCAAACATGCTAGTAGCTTACTGCTAAAAGACTTTGGTTTATTTCTGCTCCTTCCATTTTTGTCTGTCGATCTGAGTCTCTGGCATCAGCTGCCCTTTCACTGCCAGCCAAGTCAATGAATGATATCCTAGAAAAAAACAAAGTTACATTTATCTTGGGGGCTTTTTTTCCCTTCTCTTGTTTTCTTTTTCAAACGAGAGGGCTACAACACATCACATCAGAAGAATGATTGCTAACAACTACTTTTGAACAGAGAGAAATACCCACTGGAAATATC